CTCACCAGTACCGGCAGCGATAATGAGGATAGCGCAGTCAGCCTGGGAGGTACCAGTGATCATGTTCTTGATGAAGTCACGGTGACCGGGGGCGTCAACTGAGTAAATTGTCAGTTGCCATCCTAGAGAGTTGACTGCAGAGCAAATGTGTCCACATACTGACTGTTACATAGTACTTGGGAGTTTCGAACTTCCACAGAGCAATGTCGATGGTGATACCACGTTCACGCTCGGCCTTGAGCTTGTCAAGAACCCATGCGTACTTGAAGGAACCCTTTCCGAGTTCGGCGGCTTCCTATGAGGCTTGTCAGCATCGTGCAATCAAAAAATAGAGACTATCAAGCTTAGAGACTAAATGCCCAAGCGTGACCTTGATGTCGTGGAAGTTGGTGGGGAACTGTATGTGCGTCATGGTGTTGCGGCTCGCGAAGGCCGCATCCAGACTAGCGCTAGCGCGTAAAAGTTCGCACAACCCCACCACCCAAAAAATGCCCCTCATTGCGATAAGCCCGAAAATGGCCGCGCGCTCAAAAGTTGCAACGGGCAGTGGCGGGACTGCAGGTGAAAGAAAATTTATGGCATACCTTCTCGAACTTCTCAATGGTACGCTTGTCAATACCACCGCACTTGTAGATCAAGTCTGTATCCCATTGTGAGCGTGTTGACCCCGCAGTGTTTCGGAGAGGGCAGGCTTACGTCCGGTGGTGGTCGACTTTCCGGAGTCGACGTGGCCGATGACGACGACGTTGATGTGAATCTTTTCCTTACTGCATTGCTTGTTAGTTGTCTGGTTGGGACAAGGGCGAGTGGCAGGCTCGAGCTGCAACTGTGGGCACAATCGAGGGGCCTGGGAGGCTCAAGGTGGGGGTGAAGGAGGGGGACAAGAACTTACCCCATGTTGGCGGTAGTATGTTGTTTTGGATGAAGTGAGGAAAAGCTGTTGAATACTCAGATTTACAGCGCGCGGTGTAAGGTATGAGTTGGACGAAGAGAAGAATTGGACGATGGAGGGGTCAAGTGTTGCTAATATAGCTGGAAAGCCTGGTGGGTCCGTGCTAGTTTTCGGCGCTAGCCCCCGGTTGGGCTACGAAAACTCCTTCACTGGCAACGAAATCTGTAGGCAGAGAGGCAAAACAGCCCCGCCTGATTGGCCCTGGCCACTGTCGAGCCCTTCAAGTACTGCTGACCGCCCACTATGGGCTTGCCACAGCCGCAGTTGCCTCACGCGAGCCTGTGAGTGCATCGTCACTGCCCATCCCTTAGCCCTTTTATGGGATGACTTCATTCTGGCAGCCATCCTGGACACAGTGAGATTGCTTGGACACATTTACAGTCTACACAGTTCTGTATTCTTCCCTCTCTCGCCTTTACAGACGAAAAATTGCACGCCAAAAACGACCACTGACGCCAGCCTCGGGCGCGCAGTGAGGCAGCTTGGGTTTCACTTTTGCCGCACTGCAAAACTTTTGGCGGGGTACTTGAGATTGCCATCATACTGTGTACCCAGCCCCACCACTAGCCGAGTTTGATGTGGCTTTGGCGGCAATTCTGCCCACCCTTATGCACACCACCGTGTTCATACCTGCTTTTCTTCCACTAGTCACTCTCTGCATTGCTTTTGCCCTTTCTTTGCCATTGGACCTCAACCTGCCAGAACAATGGGCCTCCGCTGGGCCCCCAAGCCTCGTCATAGACCCTCGTTATCTAGTATCTACGTATGTACCTAGGCATATCCAAACCTCTGGGCCCCGCCTTCATGGCCTTCGCCGCCCTCGACCGACCATGGACCGCACTGAAACTCGAGTCTGTTACTGATAATTGACTCAATGCTTCTTTCTCTTTCCAGACTTCTCGGCACACCGCTTGTATACACGTGCTAGAAGAATTTAACAAAGAATCAACTGCCGTCACATAGTGTCCCAAGTCCCCTTAGCTCTCCTGGGGCTTCCTACTGGCACATGCTGCACGCCCAAATTCTCCACGGTTGCAAATCCACGTGCTCAGCCTGCCCTTACATGTGTACTCTCTGTGTGGGTCACCAAAAACGAGAGCCTGACCGTAAAGATTTTCGAAACTACTCTTGCAGATCCAAATCTCCAACCCGCCGTCAATGATGCGACCGGCTTCTTATCGTTCGCTACACCAGAACCTCGTACTTTATCAACCCTTTGTAGTTCTCGCTCACAAGTACTCGTCATGTGGCAGATTCTAGATTCAGCATGCGACCCTCATTGATCAGGTCTTGAGCTTTTCGAAATCATCGTTGAAACAATGATGGCTCAATTTCGATCTTGCCCCGATTCCGTCTGCACTGGCTGCCTCCCCCGAAGCCTGACCATCCATCGATACGACAGACGCATGTTAGGATGAAGCTCGTAGCCTCTGCCCAATGGGCAATCTCCCCATGTCCAGTCCTGGTGTTTCCCCTCGCGCCACATGACGCCTATGATGTATGTACGCCTAGGGACTGATGGTGAGAATGTGCTACGTATATCAAACAGATATGATGCCTGGATGATCATTGTCCATTTACTGGCTGTCCATCTAGCTGTCCGCCTAGCTGTCCGCCTAGCTGTCCGTTGTCTTGCATTTAAAGAGATAAAACATTAAAAGCTGGACTTATGCTTCTAGTACTCCATAATTGTGGGTGAGGACAATATGGACATGAGGACGATGTGTACATGATGAGGACAATGTAGATATGAGGTACTGCTTAAAGGTTAATCTCCAATCACAAATACATCATTTAAACGTGTGTATCGCTTCAACAGCTAGTGCACAGGGTATTTGATGGTATCTATCTAGTAGCCAATCTAGGCACATACGCCATTCAACAGTGCATGTATTCCTGTGCCATTGTACTCAGAAGCTCAGTTATCCCAAACATCATTCAACAACCACAACTGGCCCGCCCACTGCTCCTTGACAGTCGGCCAAATGAGCTCAGGCGGCAGAACGAACCCGCCTCCTGCCGCGTCCTGGGGGCTCAGCTCCATAGTCCACGAGTGCTCAGCACCATGCACAGCGTAGTGGTGGTCTCGAGAGTTGCCCGTGGAGAAGTACAGAATCTGGCAGCCGGGTCCAAACTCATATATGACGTTTCGCGCGCTGCCTGCCTGAATAGCTTTGGCGGTACCGCCCGCTACCTCGAGCATGCGGGGAAGCGTTTCGGGGAGCGGGTCGCATGAGAAACCCCAGGGAGTAAGGATAAGCTGGCCGTACGAGTGGAAGTCGATGAACGACCGGATCCCGGCGCCCGTGCTGGAAAGCTTAGCAGAGAGTCCATCCAAGGCTTGGTTCTCGGGTGTGTCGCCTGCGGCTTCGCCACGGTACGTCTGTCCGCACGGATCGGGCGTTGAACCACCGTCTGGAGGCGTGGCGTCCCACTCGAACTTCCAGTTGCGGTTGCCGTCGGTGCCGAGACAGGTCGTGTTTAGTTCGAGGCGCGGCTGCCGGTTCTTGCGCCATAGTCGGTCATTAGTTTGTGTGTACAAGAAGCCGTCTGGGTTGTGAAAGGGGACGAGGTAGAAGTCGTAGTGGTCCAGGAAACTAGTCACATTTGCATCGCCTTTTTGATACCCGTCAATAAGCTGGTAGGCTAGGTACTCGATCACTGAGAGCGTTAGCTAGTGTTCTTTTCTTCTCATGTGTGTTCTGCTTACCCATCGTGGAGATCCATTCTCTTGCGTGAACTGTGGCATGCCAAAGAATAATGGGCTTTTCTTCTTGAGTTTTATCTTCAGTGCTCTTGTCACCAAACAAATGGAATGCCCAAATTGTCCTGTTCTCGTAACTCTGGCCAATTGAAAACTTCTCAGAGTTATCAGGGAACGCCGCAACAAGGTCGTCCCAATACTGAAGGTGGTCGGAATAAGCATGGTAAGTGTCGAACCACGATAGATCTGGGAGCTGGCCCGCTGTATGCAAGTCACGCTTGTATACGGCTTCCTTGTCGGTAGAGCGAATGTACTTGCCCAGATCTGAGTTCACCAGGCGAGCGTTCAAACCCAGTGCACGAAAAGAGTCGATCTCCTCGGGTGGAATAGCAACTGACAGGGTGTTGCGGATTGGGTGGGTATGATAGTTGGAGAAGCGCCTGTTGATATCACGAGCTTCTTCGGTGGAAGATGGCGTAATGGAGTAGATTTGGTAGCCATCGTAGCTTGGGTTGGCACTACGAGACACAGAGCTAGCGTCGTGTGCGAAAGGAGACGCTGCTGCCAATTGAGCGGCCACCACCCACTTTGACAATCTCATTTTGAGGTTCGAAAAGTTGACAAGACGGCAGCAAGACACCACAACATCACATGCACTTCTTAAGTACGTCTTTGGACCCCTGCTTTGGCCTTATCTACACGTCGGGAAGCTCGGTACAATGATGGAATGTCCCCATGGAACTGTCATAGCTCGCACAACATTCCCGCGTTCACTTGCATCACTGGGATCATATTCAGTAGGTGGAGCGTCGTTCGCCCGCTAGCCAAGACGATGCCCAGGCTTTTGTATACTTATGTACCCCCAGCTTCCTGATCTAGACGCATCGCCAAGGAGCAAGGCAGGTCGGGTATGCAACTCCCCCTCAACCCCGGGTATATTGCTGATCCCGTCGAAAGCCGTTGAGAAGCCGCATCAAACCCTATTCAACAGCCTCGTGTTTGATTTCAAAGATGAATGGAAACTCGCGTCTTCTTTTTCTTGGGAGACAAACAATGTTCAGCACGATGCTCCTGAAGGCACGATATTGTTGTCTTGATGACGTCGCATTGAAAACCGCCTCTATGGTCTACGTAGACTTGCTTGTTTCACGCGTATGCGCACAGCAAGCAGAAGTAAAAGCTTATACAAAAGGCGCACACACGAAGAGGACTTGGAGTTATGAATAAGGTTTTGGTACACAAGTACCGTAAGCACGCTTGTACTGCTTGGCCAACTTGCCTATATGAGCACGTATCCCAGCCCTTCTCTTACCTTTCTGTAATACACATGCATTCCCATTGCCCCCATAGTGAAATATTTCTAGTATCCAAAACTTCATGACTGGCTTCCTACATACGTTTACTTCTACAAGACCAACCTGGTAGCAAAAAAAGTACAAGGCCGGAACTACACTTTTTTGATCAACCCCCGCTACTGCGTAATCGCACTCAATTTTGAAAGCAACGCAAGTAACAAGCAGAATCACCAAACAAGAAACCCAAATCGCATTGGACAACCCAAAATGTAAAGAAACCCCAGCTACCTCATCACGCAATGATAACCGGGAGACAATGAATCGTAAAACCCCACCCATTTAGGCATAGTGCCTACGAGTCATCGAATCTCAGTACTTAGAGAACAACATCCTACTCACAATATATACCCAAACGCAAAAATACCCATACTATCAACCATAAAGCCTGTCTGACCCTGGAAACACCACATCCCCCCCATCAACCCCACCAACCACAACCATGCCTGCAATGCTCGACGACCCCACAACCCCCCCAATCCAGCGCACAACCCCAATCCCCTCCTTCACCCCCACCCCCGTCACCCTTCGCGACGGCACCACCCGTGCCACCATCCTCCCCTTCACCTCGCCCTCGCAGGTCCCCCCCTCCCTCATCTCCTTTCTCTGCACGCAACTCGCCCTTGAAATCGCCGCTGGGGACACCTACCCGATGCTCGACCCTTTACCTCTTGAGGCCTTCGGACCCTACTGGTTCAGCACCTTCGCCGCCATCATGGTGCTTGGGGAGGGCTTGAGTGTGGAGGGCTTGGGGGAGGAGAAATGGGAGGAGAAGTGCTTAGGGAGTTTTTATGTGAAGCCGAATTATCCGGGGAGGAGTAGTCATGTTTGTAATGGGGGGTTTTTGGTGAATGGAAAGAAGAGAAATTTAGGGGTGGGGAAGGCGCTGGGCAAGGCGTATTTGGAGTGGGCGCCTAGACTGGTGAGTTTTTATCGCGGTTGATGAAGATGGATCTTTTGAGCTGATGGAGAACAGGGATTCACGTATTCGGTGTTTAATCTAGTGTACGAGACGAATGTTGCATCATGTAAGATTTGGGATTCGTTGGGGTTTGAGAGGATTGGGCGGGTGAAGAAGTGTGGGGTTTTGAAGAGTTTTCCGGGGAGGAAGGTGGATGCGATTGTTTACGGGTATGATTTTGAGGAGAAAGAAGAGAAGGAGGTAGTGTGAAAGTGTGGGGTATGTTGGATTTGGTATCTAAAACAGAAGAGAAAAATCGACTATCTACGACTTAAGAGGACCATTTCAATTCCTCCAGCTTCTCAACGCCATACGGTACGCTCGGGGTACTCCAAGCCGCACCTTCAGCACCCTTAATTTGAGGTACCGGCTTCAAAATGCTCAACCTCTTGCTGTCAAACGCGCTGTTCTCGAAACTCTGGTACCATCCACAGTTCTCCTCCAGGTACTGTCCAATAACCTTCTTCCAACCCTTGTAAACCGTTACAAGCAAGTCAAGCACATGATGGCTTCCGTGCATATCGCCCCACTGGAACCTCTCCTGACACTCCTTAACTGTCTCAAGCGGATACAGTCCAACATCCTCACGCAGCGCATACGCATTTACGCCAACAAGCGAAGAGTGAACCTGATAGCTTCCTCCCTTAACCGCGCGGTCACGCAGAGCCTGCATCGCACCTACAGCTCCAAGAACTCCAGTCGACATATCTGAGATAGGCAGACAAGGCAGCACAGCCTCATTCTTCGGAAGCTGCTGTGTAGTTTCCAGCGACTTACCGGTTACGTACGCAGAGCCAGCCGCAGCATCAGCAATTTGCTGCCAACCAGGTCGCTCCTTGTAGTATCCGTCTGGCCCGTAGCAGTTCTCAGATACGTACACGATGCCCTTGCCTCTCTTACCGGCCATCTCGAGCATGTCGTCGAGACCTAGACCGTATTTTGCCATCTTGCCCATGCGGAAGCCTTGGATGAAGACATCGGCGTCTGCGAGGAGAGATTGCAGATATGTCCTGTCGGATTCTTTGCGTAGGTCTACGGTCGAAGTGCGCTTTCCGGCGTTGAGAGTGAGTTGCATGATGTTGATGTCGGGGAGATGGGGTGGGTTGAGGCGGATGACGTCCGCACCGAATGCTGCGAGGATGGTACCAACTTCTGGACCAGCGATGACGCGGGTGAGTTCGACGATTTTTACGCCGGCGAGAGGCCTGCGGTCTTGTGGGTTCAGAGGTGGGAAGCTGATGGGCGGGGTGGGGATAGCTTGGTTCTGTTGCTTGACGTTGACGAGTGGGTGTGCGGCTAGTGACTTGCCCATCGTCGACTCGTTCCATTGCTGAGGTGTGAAGCAGATGGAGCCACAGAGGCCGTTCATCAAGTTCTTAAGTTCGAGCTCCGCAGGGCTGAATTTCTTGGTATGTTCTGCAATGAGCGCTGCAGCTTCTTCGTTGGACGAGACTGGAGTGCTGGGGTCGATGCCAATCATCTTGAGGGTTGGAGGAGCATTCATACTTCCATGAAGGGAGTACCATGTCTCGGGATCTTTGGTAGGATATAGGGCGGTTGCACGGTACTTGAGTGGTGTGTCCGTCCAGCCCTGCTCCCAGTCCGCAAGCAACTTACCGAGCTTTTTCTGTGCTGACATGCTCAAAACGTCTTCTCCGTTGAGAAACGCCGTGGCAATGCAACCGAACCACATTGCAGCGTGGGTGGTGTTCACAGTGATCTCACGCTTGTCGTCTTTGGCACCTCTTATTGCGAGTATCTCATCTCCGAGGACACCACACATAGCATGCAGGGCTGCGGCAACGGATGTTGCCTTGATGGGTCCTGGGATGACAGGGTACTCCTCGCCGGTGAACTTGACTTTTGAGAGAATGCTTTCATCTTGGGTGAAGCCAGGTGTTTGTGATACGAGCTGACGGAAGATGCGTGCGGTATCTTGCGGGACGGGAACAAAGGTCTTGTCTGTGTAGGTTCCGGGGCCATAAACATCTGGGATACGATCTGAAGTGACCATGATGGGTGGGTGAATGTGATTAACAGTAGAGCAGATCAGCGTATAATAGATAAATGAAACTGCGTGATGAAATGGTTTGATGGGGTTGTGGAAGATAATGAGTAAATGCTATTCTACTTGCGCAATATCTCTCTCTTATATCGTCTATCTTGAATTTCTCTGACCAGGTTCTTCGACAACAAGCTCCTTCAGTGTCTACGGATATGTGCCTCCGATCCAGTAAAGAAGGAGATAGTTCGGACATACTTCATCATTCCTTCCCTCATCCTCGTACGAATACTATCATCCGTGCAGGGCTATGAGGTGTGCCGCGCTATTCCACATTTGCTATGTAGTAAGTTGGCCGAGATCTCCCGTGTGCCACTTTTCCTTGCACAGGCACGACCTCTGCGAGCTTGCATCATATCTTTGAAAGTTGCTGAAAGATATTTTTCAGATATGATGCAGGAACGGGGTCCATAGATATCGGTCCGGTCCGGTCAATTGGCGATCACATCGGCGGTCTGACATCATTCGGTGATCAATCGGTGTTATAGTCTCTCGTGCGAACACCTCTTGACAGGCACGACGTGTTGCAATGGGATGCTTGCAAGTAGTAGAAATTTATATGTCTAAGACGGGAACATATTGCTCTTCTCAGAGCGTTTTCAAGTAATCCATTATCATATTTCCCATTCAGAATGCCACACTCAACAACCTCAGTGCCAATCCAGCACATCACTGTCATCGGCAGTGGCTCAATCGGAGCATCATGGGCTGCTCTCTTCCTCGCACAGGGCCTCAAAGTGACTGCTTTTGATATCAACCCAGCCGCTGAAGCAACGCTGCGAAAGCTCGTCAAAAACGCACTCCCTGTGTTGAAATCTTTGGACTTACTCAAGAACTCTAATACATCTCCCGAGGACATCACTTTTACGACCGATCTTGCTACAGCCCTCAAAAATGCCGACTTTGTGCAAGAAAACGGACCGGAACGCCTCGATCTCAAGCAGCAACTTTTCAACAACATGGCCGCCCTCGTGCGCCCCGATACCATCATCGCCACCTCATCAAGCGGCCTGACTTGCACATCCATCCAGTCCGGTATGGGTGCGGATACACACCCAGATCGCATTGTAATCGGACATCCCTTTAACCCGCCACATTTGATCCCGCTCGTAGAAGTCGTTGGCGGCGAGCAGACCGCGCCACAGACGATTGAGCGCACAATGGCGTTCTACACAGCTATTGGCAAGAAAGCCGTGCATGTCAAGAAGGAAGTGGTTGGACACATCGCAAACCGACTACAAGCAGCATTGATGCGCGAGATGCTGCATATGGTGCAAAATGACATCTGCAGCATCTCGGATATTGACGATGCCATGGCGTACGGGCCAGGACTGCGTTGGGGTATTATGGGTCCTAATGCGCTATTTCATCTTGCGGGCGGCGAGCAGGGTGCGCAGCACATGGCGAATCATCTCTTGGGACCGCTGACTACGTGGTGGGCACAAAAGGATCCTGTACTAGATGATGATCTGAGAAAGAAGTGGGTTGAGGGCACGACGGAAGCAGTTGCTGAGAGAAAATTTGATGATCTGGTCACACAGCGGGATTCAGAGTTGGTTAGGCTGCTGAATTTGAGGAAGGAGTGGGATGGTTATGCGGAAGAGAGGAGGAACTAGTAGAGTGTAATACTAGAGAAGATAAATTGATACCCTTTGAAATGTGCTTCACAATTTCTATCGTCTTGATTACAACAAAGTCAATATCTATAGTACATCGACTATCATCTACTCAGAATATTACAATGAATTCCGCATGTCAAAACCCTACTTTGAATTTACTTTTCCATCTACGATTATCTTTTGAAAATGATGACGTCATCCCACGTGGCGCTGCAGACCACCGGCTACGTAGTGGCGTTGGACCCTTCGGTCAAATTGTCTCTTTTTACATACTACACATACATCTTCTTCGCTTCCCTACATTATCTACAAAACTCAAACTGAATTTGACGTCACAGCGTGATGTTGACATGCCAGCTCCATTGAGATATTTTCCTTGAGAGATTGCAAGTTTACCGTAACGGCGCACGCACAAGTTCGGCCGAGCAAACTAGCACGCCCGACTTTGCAGACGTGCACGAAAAGTGGGATGGGCATGAAATACACGTATGGAGTCGGCGTATGGTGGATCCGAGTTTGGCCCGAATAGGTTTGTAGTGGTAACTGGAATGGTGCTGGTATGCATGTATATAGAAGGTTAAGGATCTGTGAAGTGGAAGACTTACACCTCACGAAAAGTTACCAACTCTGTATCTTCTTGAACAACTTCAAATTTCTTTTCATTGCACAAATCAGATCATATCAAATCATTAAATTGGGACATTCTACAGCGCACATTATGCCCTCAATCACTGAGCTATCCCAGAAAGCTCCTTCGAAACAACGCCTCTACATTCTTGACGCATCACTATCCTCGCACAACCACTCTGGCGGCCGCATTGTCTCCTGCAATACAGATGGCAGCGACTTACAGCCCGTTGTCTCGCCGCTCCCCACACTACCAGATGGAGTGACAATCGATCACAACAATGGCACTATGTGGTGGACAAATATGGGCACCGCGCTCTCCACCGACACAGGCAGTATAGAGACAGCCTCACTCGACGGCTCCAACCGCCGGATCATCGTTCCTACTGGCACAAAGGGCGTCTGGACGCCCAAGCAAATCACCCTCGCAAAGGAAAGTCGCACACTTTACTGGTGCGACCGAGAAGGCATGAAAGTCATGCGCATGCCACTGGCAACAGAAGAGCCTGAAGTACTCATATCAACAGGCGATCCACATATCGTAGCAGATACAGCAGACATGCGGAACTGGTGTGTCGGCATTGCTGTCGACGAACAGAGAGGATGGTTCTACTGGACGCAAAAGGGCGCATCTAAGGGAAATGCTGGTGCCATCTACCGCGCACGCATCGACAACACGGAGGTGCGCGAGAAGGTTTTCGAGAACCTACCTGAGCCGATCGACCTAGAGCTGGATGAGGAGAATGCCGTGTTGTACTGGACGGACCGTGGGGATCCGCCTAGGGGTAACACATTGAACAGAGCGTTTGTTGGAGGTGGTGAGGAGTCAATTGGTGGAATTAAAATCCTTGCGAGTCGATTTCATGAGACTATTGGGCTTGCATTAGACCTAGGGAAGGACGTTGTGTATCTAAGTGACCTTGCGGGCGGCGTGTATGCGGTTGATCTTCAGACACAAAAGAAGAAGGTATTGTTCCCCGAGCTAGGAGATTTGACTGGCATTGCGCTTGCATAGATATTTGTATTACATAATTCTAGCACGATATCGTTTCGTGCATTTGCTCAATTCATTGTCGTCAAGCTCGTATCTAGAGCTCGGCGATTTACTTAGATGTGTGAAGAGGATTTTGGACGTATGACATGATATGCGAGATGCACCAAAATTAATATCGATTAGTTTCTCCAACTGAGAGGCTTGGTGTACTAATATTTGCTCAAATGGCATCAGTCTCGCCATGGCACTCGGTTCGGCCGTCGCGGTGATCCCGGCAAAATAAGGCCAAAAAAATTTGGCAGCACACTAGAAGTCATGCAGATGTGAACGCAAAAAAACTGGTGATTTGACCTAACCAGGGGTCGAACCTGGAATCTCTTGATATCGAACTGAATCGTAGTCAAGCGCCTTGCCATTGGGCCATTAGGCCAGTTGTTCTGATGATGGAGGTTTTTGAGATATTACCATATTTATAGACTTTTTGAAAATTTGCGCCGCAGCGCTGAACCGGCGGGGTATACACTCAACGTCATCCGCCCCACTATACCCTTCCTCTCTAATTCGACCACACACGCATCGTTTCAGCACCCACTGCCTCAAATCATGGCTTGCTTACGATTAGGCAGAAGCCTGATTCCGTGCTTGCTCTCCATAGGCACTGCCGTAACTTGAACACTGTTCCTTCACATTTGCCTTTCCCGGTTCCTACGCTCCTTGTATCCCATAGCAATCGCACAAACTTCTATATCACGATCGCCAGAACCATGTCACGAAGAAACAGTGCCATGTATACTCCTCATCCGCTGACCGCGCAATTCGATAGCGCAAAGTTCATGGTTGGCGGGGGAGTAGCTATCTTCCATCTTGCAACTGGGCGCGTGGTACTATGCAGCTACGAGCAACACGGGCACACAGTATATTTCCTGCCTAAAGGACGGCGAGATGCAGGCGAAGAAAGTGGCACAGGCGCAGAGCGAGAGGGGTATGAAGAGGTGGGTCCCAAAACGAGTCTGCAAGCATTTTCCCGAGAAAAAAAAAGTTTTATAGATGATTTTCGCAAGAGCTAATGCAATATACAAAGTCAGGGTATCGAAACCGGCTTCTCCCTCTACCAACACGGCATTGCCAACCGCAAGCTCATCCACGTGTCCACGCTCCGACGCATACTGCCGAGCCCGTTCTGTTACAGTTGATGCCGTTGCGAGAGTATCAGTATGTGGTTTATTGGTACATTTCGGAGACGCTGCCGCCGTCACTCGAGGGGGACCTCGAAACAGAACCAGGATCGCCGTATAAACCTCCACCGCGTTATCCGCAGAATCTCTCATTGAGGGAGAGAATTGCGATGGAGCCGCAGGGGTACGAGCCTAGACATCACGAGGGCACGGGCGTGGATAATATGGAGAGGCAGTTCAAGAGCGAGTTGTGCAGTGTAGAAGATGCAATAAAGAAGCTAGGCCAGGGCCACATGATGGGTGAGGCTATGGCGGATGTAGTTAGGAAAGGGTGGGAAGGAATCCAAAAAAGGTCCGAGATGGAAGACGCAGCCACGCAGCAAAGTCCCGAAGCAGTTTGAACCTTCCGAGTTTGTTGGTTTGGAGATTGCGCAGAGCAGGGTATCAGCATCATATCGCAACTTTCACGTGCCATCCAACCTCTAATTTTTTTTTCTGTACCGAGAGGCCTACGTCACTCGGATGTTGCTGTTGTAAACAACAACTCCCACGGTCTAGATCCCGGACTATCTGCCGGTAGCAACATGCTATGCATACTGTAGATTACCTACGCCTGTCTATACCTTAGCGAATCCTTCTATACATACCAGGTTCCAACAGGAACATCAATAGTCCCAACATTAACCTAGTAAGACCCTGTGGCGAATCAACCGAACCACTACTGTAGGACACCTAGAATCCTAATCGGGACAGCGAATATTACCTGCGCACGCGACTAAGAAGGAAGGCGACCACGTGGAAGAGCACAGTTGGGGTAAATTAGCCGGTGAGCGAGGCCGGTTATTGAACTACCATGCATATCGCAAGATCGCGAGTGGCATGATTGCAACTTGGAATGCAATGCAGATAACAAACACCTGATTGAATGTTGAGTTCTTTCCGGCGAACTGCAATACTGGCACCATGTAATGCCATGGAAATTTAACCACGGACTCCCTACCTGATGATGCTTGTCCTGTCTTAATGCGATGGGCAAGGTTCATACGTCCGTACGCAGTGGTTGCATCGTCTATACTGCATACCGCCATCCCTCTCCTCGAGATCGAGATGCAGAGAGAAATAAACAGTGCAGATGGATAAGCTTCGAAGCGTAACATCCGCGCGTGCATCTTCATGTTATACCGATCTGCACAAAAAACAGTAAGCAAGACGGAAGCAAAGAAGGGGGTGTCCGGATCGAACTCTCCTCCTCCTCCTTCTTTGTCACATCGCACTCTGACCGGCAAAGATATCATGGTACGCTACGCATGCCGTAACCAGACATCTCGTGCCCTTTCTCCAAGCCTCCCCAAGAACCCATTTGTTTCAAGTACAAGGACGCTCAGGGTTCGCCAAGTAAGTAGGACGTGTGCGTATGTTTGACATTGCCCAGGATACCGGAAGGCAAGGGTTGTCGTGATAACTCAGCCAGCGGTATGTAAACTTTATAGCTGTTTTTTCCCCGCTCCCGCCTACGCAAACACTGGGTGACCACGGGTGCAACTTTGGGTAAAAGCTGCGGTCGCTACGTATCAGAAGTATGTGTATAGATACACCTTTCTGTGGGTTTTGACGCGGAAAAGCGAAAACAAACATAGTGGTGGTACTGGGTATTCCGCCAATCTCCCCAAAGTATTACTTTTCTTGGACCGCGGACATGCCAATCCTCTGACCTACGTACGCGCCACGCCATCACCTACCCACTTCATCTCCACCTATCCCCCCGTCCATCCCCACCCACCCAAAAAACGCACACACACACACACACACACACACACACACACACACACACTCTCTCTCTCTCTCTCTCTCTCTCTCTTTATCCTACCAAACCACACGAAAAAAAACCCCACCCACAAGCACCATTACTTACCGCTCTCCAAACACACACAAGCACCCCATTTCCAATTACACCCCCCACCCCCACCCCACCTGAAACAACCGGCCCGTTACCTACCTCATCAAACAAAACCCTAATCGCAAGTGTGCGCGCCAAAAGAGAAAAAAAAACAATAACAATGATAATGATTACTGCCAAGCGAGAAAGCTAGAGAATGACACAGCGCTTATAAACACCGTCATCGTCCGTCCCCCCTGTGTGCCTGAGACAAAACCAGGGCGGCTACTGCTGCTCGCAGAAACGCATAGAAGAAAAAAACATAAATAAACGGCCGGCTCAGGGCGCCCGGGCGCCAAGCGGGCGGGGGTGGGCAATATGTACGCAAAGGTGACTTTTGAGTTCGGCAAGTTTTACCTCGTGATGTAACGTCGGGAGAAAAGAAAAAGAGCGGTATACGAATGTTTCAAAGGTGGCAGCAAGCACATGCCTTTTGCTTTGCCGTAGTTATTCTCTCTGTCTGTGATTCCGACAGGGAAAAAAAACTGACAACGTGGTGATACGCAAGTGTACCAGACGGATTGTTTTTTTTTTTCGCACTGATTGGCACGTTAGGCACGTTGCAGTAAGTAGCACACACATGCAGGCTTGCAGGCTTGTCAAATACCGGGCGGGGGCTCCACCTGCGTGCAGGAAGGGAAGAAGGTGCAGGCGAGGGGGGCTAGCTAAGCTGCGCAAGCTAGAAGATGTTTAGCGTGGCGATCGCTGCAGGGGTTGGGTCAAGAGGGAAGAAGGGGGGGACCGAGGTGGACATGGGTTGTTGGGCTTGGTTATACTCTAGAGATTTTGGTGTGAAATTGGTTATATTGATATGTACAGATAAAACCACCTTGGCTGGAAAAACGCCGGATTGGGGTATTTGCCGCGCCTGAAGAGAGGGGAAAGAAGAGGAATCGTATACAAATGTGGTGACGGGGATAACATTGAATAGCTAACCATTAGCCCGTTTTCTCGGGCACCCACCGAAAGGCCCGACCACATGTTGCTTGTTTTGTGTTTGTCTTCGTGCCTGGTCCACAGGATAAAAAAAGTCTTAAAAGGAGTGTGTGAGGGAAAATATGGAGCCATATCAGATGGGGGTATGATGTGGTTTGAAAAGAAAGGAAACTAATGTGTACAGCGAAGTAGATGTGCATGTGTATAATCCTCTGTGTTGCGCATCCGGACGTTGATTTCCCCTTCCAAAAAACATGAGACAAGATTTCAACGAACAAGTTATAGACGCTTCCAAAGAAAAAACATGGTATTGCCGAGTGGGGCAAGATCAGACATGACGTGACAGGTGTTTACCACGAGAAAGACTCCTCGCGGAAGTCGACGTTCCACTGGGTCTCGCGGTTGCGGACCGCGCGGCGGAGCTCATCAGCGAGGCCACCAGTACCGCATGTGGTGACACAGGCAGCACCGATGCCCTCTTGCATCTCCTGGTCGACCAAGGCCTGGACGTTGGGTCGACCAGGGAACATCTGAACACTTGAAGAGGGTGAGTGGATCTCCTTGGTGCTGCGGGGGCGGGTGACGAAGAGCAGAATCTTGAGGATCTCGCGACGACGTGGCATGGAAAGGATCTGTGTCATCCATGTACGGATCCACTCCAAGTGCTCAGGCGACTGGATGATCCATACAAGTGTGAGGCGACGAGTAGCAACAGTGCCGTTTGCATAACCAGCAACGATATCGCGCACGTGGGGGACTTGGTGCGTGATACCAATACCAGCAGCCCAAAGCATCACAGTGCCATAGGAGCTAAGGTCCTCACCACCTATTAAGGTAACCGTTAGCGTAGTTCGGCGGTATTGGTTTAATATGCGTAAATTGCAAAGACTTTGCAGAAACAGGATTCTAGACTCACCATAAGGACCCTCGACATATGCCGAGCAGGAGAATCTGCCGGCAGCAGAGAGATCGGCCTTTTTGAACAACTTGTCGGTAAAGCCTGTGCGGCGGCGGATGATGAAGGACATGCTGGTCTTGTGGTGCTCGAGGATATCTTGGCGGTTCATAGGGAGGCCCTTCTCATCGCCAGAGGCAATGCTGAGGTCTTCCTCTTCCTCGCTCCACGCGATGGAGAAGGGGTGGTTGGTCCAGAGACCAACAGAGGGGATGTACAAGTAAGCGTGCTGGCCAGGGCGGAAGTTCCATGGGCGTGCCATGCGGACCGTAACACGGAGAGCATCTCCTGGAAGAACTTCAACGTCGCAGGCAGTGCCGCCGTTTCCAACGTTGCGCATGACAAGACGAACAAATCGCCAGGTACGCTCCATACCCCAGAGAGCGATAACTCCGTAGAGCATGCGCTGCTGCTCGCGATCCTTGAGGTGGACCCATACGGCGCCGAGCGAGAGCGCAGCACCGACGATGTGACCGTGCAGGAAAACCTCATAGAAGGAGTGGCGGATGGGTGAGGGCGACTGGATCAGAAGGAACACAAATGCGACAGTTCCCTGTGCGTGTTAGGGGATGATGGAAAAGAATCTCACGCAAGACTTACAATGAAACCGCTCATGATGAATTCACTCTTGGTGATTGAGGCTTGAACAGCGACCCAGCCCTCTGCATCTTCGTTAGTACGGGTTTCTTTACAACTGGCGTGATTTTGAACTCACTGCTGTGAACCTTGTTGGCCATCCAGCAGACGGTGTGGGCAATTGCCTCGAGGACAACGATTCGCCCAAACCAGCGGTGGACCAAGTTCATGGTATCGAAAGAGATGCCAGTGAGCTTGATGATGGGGTTGTTGCGACCAGCAAGCAGGAACAATGGGATCATGTTGATAACGGCCATGATACCAGAGCGGCTGAGGAGCTCGCCAGCACCTGAGGCAAAGCTGCTGTAGTCAATTTTCCACACACAGAAACCGATGTTGACCGCAAAGTAGCCGACGAGGAAAAAGGTCTGCAGGCGGCTGGGCAGTGTTCCAACACCAATGGCAGACGAGAGCTTGAACTCGCGATGGTGCCGGGTGCGGAAGAGGGGAGCATCGAGACAGTGTTTCTTGAAAGCGGCATAAGTGCGGTTGGGAATGGCGAAGTAGCGCTGGGTGTCGTTGTTCAGGCATGTGACGGTTCGGATGTAGCGCACAAAGTAGAGAATGACTTGGTAGACGAAGAAGACGACAACAATGATCCACCAGATGTATCCGAGGTAGTGCTGTACGTCAACGTTCTCGCGGCCAGCAGTGGGGTCTTCTTCTCCATGGCCAGCGCGCTTGGCGAGGCCACTGGCAACTTCCATCAGAGACATAGTTGGAAGGAGTGAGCAATTGTCGAGTGTAGGGCCAAGATGAGAGTCGGATCGGTCGCTGTGGCAGGCGGGGATGACGTTATGTAGAGAGTGTACTCTGTCTTGGCCAGCAAACGACAGATTGGTGGAGTGGAGCAAGGCCTGGAAGAAGCAGTTGATATGGCGTGCGTGGTGACCCAGCCTTAACAGATAGTACTTAGGCTTGGGATGACTGGGTAATGGTGTGCAGGATTCACGCGAGTTGGCGTAGCGTGGACAATGGCCGAATCGGTCGGGTTAATATGCAGCAGGCCAAGTGGGCAATTGAGCGGAATCCAGATGCCAGGGAGGGTAAGCTGCACTGATAGTCGACTGGGTATGGGTAAATCGCCAACCAGGGGATGAAGGAGAAAGAGCCGGCGGGGAAAGCAAGACCAAGCACCTGGGTTGGACGAAGAAAAGCAGAGCCAGGCGAACCACGGCAATAAAAGAGCGACTATTGGGGGGGTTGAACGAGCGAGTGAAGAGAGGGAAAGAAGAGAAGGCGTTGTGGGCGCGAGGGCCGCGTGGATAAAGGAAAGGGAGCGTGGTGGGTTTGATTATTGCTGGTAGCAGCCTCAGGATTGGAGGACAGGGCTGGGGCGGAGGGCAGGGATGGTGCCTGAAGGCGGCCGGCTAGGGCCCCCGGGTGCTGAAACGGAACGGAGTCGAGGACGCAGGACGAGTGAACGCCACGCCACAGACGAGCGATGGACAAGCTGCACGCTGACGACCCTGTTTCATCGGTTCCGAACTCTTCCTCTCTCTGTGCTCGTCCGTGTGCGCGTCATCGCGCCCTTCTCCATCCATCGTGATACACACGCCAACCGTCTGCCATGCCCGCTGTGCCTCTATCTGCTGTATCGCCCCAGGCACCCGTACGTACGCTGCCGACGCACAGCGCCTGGGCGAACAATGCCCCGGCCTGTCACTCTCCTATGCCAGCCTTGGCCCACCCAGGACCACCCTTCGTCATCCATCTATCCACGACTCCTCCGTCTCCGCCCCCGTCTCTTTGCGGTATAACGGCCGTCGTACAGCGGCCTACTTAGACACGCACTCCATCTACCCGTTCCCGCCTGTGCGACCAAGCCAGCGACCGCATCCTCCAAAATGTGCCGCCCGCAGCTGGGGCGCCACAATCCGCCGTGCCTCTTCCTTTCCCCCATACTATGCAGTACATCTAATTTGCCTTGAGCCTCAACATCAATCTGCAAACTTCCACTCACCCCTTTGTCACCACTAGCACCCGGTCGCTCAGTCGGCCGCCCGCATGTTTCCCTTGGATGCTTGCTGGGAAGATGCATGAATGTCACTGCACCGCCCCGGCCATGTCTATCCCGAAACACGTCGATTCCAATCGTGGCCGCTCCTCGTGTCCTGCATAAATCGCCGTGTCGGTTCTTCCGTCATGGGGAGAGACCCTCTGGTTGCTGTCAAAACCACAACCGCCGCTTGTTTAGTGTGTCGATTCAGATAAACGCCTTCGTGGATATGCCCTGTCCGGCCCCCGCACAAACCGCATTCTATTTGCGCGACTCGGATGCGCTTGCCTTATGCCATCGTCGCGCTCTCCGCCTTTTGCAAACCGAGTCGAGACTCGCAACGGAAATTTCCATGCTGCGCCCGAAGTGACTCCACTACCATCAGGTGTTGTCACGCCCTAAGTACCATCAATCCTATTCACGTGTGCGCACGGTCAGAAACACCTATACTGTGTAATTTACCGAAGATTCAGTCACGAAACGACTTCGTCTAGAAGGTGTCAGGCTTTGTCTACCTCAGCCTGCATGCCCATATACACATACATACTATACACATAGAGTACATACTTACATCGACGTAGTGGCGGGCTCCATTCGCATCCGCTAGCAGAGTGAACAAGAAGACGCCGGCTTGGGACTGGCAACTGCGATAAGACCATGGTTCGGAAAACCTCCTTCAATCGCGTCCTCAGTCTTGTGCACTCGATGGTGATGGAGCATCCTGACAGACGGTGTGGAAAGCGGGACATGCTCAAGGCACTTCCTGTCAGTCCTAGCCGCTCAGGTAGTACCGCACTCTAGGTTGAGACTGACTCACGACGTACTCGAAGATGACAATGTTAGCATAACACCAGGAATCCTGTGAAGCTACTAGATTGCCACTGTTTCACGCAAATGATGGCGTGCCCGCCTTGGCCCCACGCTCTCGAAACTTCCTCAACCGTTCCTCTTGGAGCACGTCGTTTCAGAGACGGGCGCCTCTCGCTTTTCTTCTCGGTTTCGATATGCAGCCACTCTCCACCGATCGGTCCACTGCATGGCTTGCAACATGCGACACAAACATGCGGGCGCTGACGTAGGCCCGGTGTTTGCAAAGTCCGTTGGTATCGACCTAGAATCGCGTGACTCGGAGCGGGCGCCTCCCTCCCGCCGCCCTTTCGTGTTAACGCTACCGTACTCGAGTACCGTTATCCACAGCTCGTGTCAACAAACACGTGCCCAGAAACGGTGCCGCTGGTGTCAATTCATGCCGCTCCCTATTCGGTGTCTAGACCGCGGCTTGCATTTGATCCACAATGCGCAATCTCCTTTTTTACCTTCCTTGTCGCTCTCTATCTCGCTTAGCAGCCAGTAGCAACGACTGACGCTATATGCACAAGACATTCCTTGACACCTGACTGCAGCATGTGTAGATCGATGGCTGCCTGCAAATCTCAGGTAAGCGCTGTATCGTTTAGCCAGAAGCAAATCAAGGCTTGAACTTTTCCAACGAGGCTTGTTCGGCGTCGACGTTACTCGGATTTTCAAATACGGACGTTGACCAATGCAACAAGCATGCACCTCAATTGAGTTCATCGTGTTCCGGAATGCTGTTTATAGTATTCGTACAAAGCAAGGACGTATCTGACGATGTGCCAAGTCGACGCGTATATACAACTCGCCGTGGCAATAAAGGCAATAAATACGTAAGCATGAGTAACCACTCACTTACTTAGTCCCAACCATATGGTAAGCTGCTATAAACACTCTCGGCCCTGTTACCAACATCGAGTCCATGGCCGTGGGCCCGGCCTGTTGCATCAGTGCGTAATATGCCCGACGTAATTCTGCACGTGCAAGACACGTCAACCTGGGATTTTGACAGGCATTCGAACGTCAGTCGGACTTGCGTATCTATTTTCATCGGAGGGCTGTGTCTATCCAAAGGCCGAGCTTTTGGATAGTCACGTGTGCGAGCCGGCTATACAATGGAAATGATGCCTTACAACATGTGCGCGAAAAGACTTTGATGTCATACTAATCCCGCTCCCGAGTAAATGTCGAGTCGCCAAATGGCTGTAGCCTGTGAAGAAGGATGCATACTACATTCTACGAGTTGCTCTACAAGCAATAATTTAGCTGTATTGCAGAATGGTACAGACAACAACAAGGTAAAGTCTTGTATTGCGACGTAAGGAAGCAAGATGACACAAGCTTCTGCCATGGCGTGTTTGGGAATGCGATACTTTCGAGCCAATTCTCGCGAGGGTAGTGTAAGTACATGGTATTGGAAAGCGAATGGGAATCTCGAGTAGCTAGCGCGGAGACAATACGCGCTTAACGCCGACCACCGATGAGGTAGGTCAAACAAACAAACAATCATCACGACAACGACGACGCGCCTGTAACATAGCACAACATATTCTACCGCCCATCGCTCTTCCGCACCCATCTATCCCGTATGAATTAACCGATATACCTATTACCATGTCAACAGACGACACCCTGCCATGGACAACTTCGCGATGCAATCGTCTACTGCGGCCGCTTTCCTCGAAACTCGCCAAACTGCGCAAAGAACTCGAACGACCGCGTCCTACGAATACAGATTCGCGCAATGTTTCCTCGGCATTTGCCACCAAGGGCTCTCCCCAGAAGACAACAAACTTTACACGCCCAGCCCACAAACCACGGGGTTTTGAGAAGGCTAGAGATCCAGATTGGAGGCCAGGCATGAAGTCGGGAGCAGCTAAGAAGACTACATATGGCGCACGGGGAAGAGGGAGACCAGCACCAAGGAGAGGTAGCCCAGACACCACCAGCAATGTCTCCCGACCGGGCGAGATTGCCTTTACGCCTTTGGTTTCGAGAATGGGCGGGCAACTGAACAGCAGTCCACAGATGCCCATATCGCCGTTGCGAAAAATTTCAAAGAATCGAGGCCCCCTTTTAGTCAATTTAGTTCTACCTGCAGCGGATGTGCCTAGGGATGTGCACAAACTCGTTCAAGGCACTTTGGAGGCATACGCAAACCTGCTCCAAGCCACCTCAACAGGAAATGAGCCGACACGGAAAGGCACAAGATCACTTATGGGCGCTTGTTTGAGAAAACTACCGGCCTACATCGAACTCGAAGAACATTTCGCAAAGCTAGACAGGCTCGAGGAAGAGGCAGAAGAAGAAGGTCGGGACATTGCCAACGAAGTATACGAACAGCTCGAGACACACTTTGAACAAGCCCCTGGACTTGGCTGGCGCCACTTTCGACAGGTCGTCCGAACACATGCCACAACGCTGATATGCGATGCCATTGTCGACGAAATATTGAGTCTCAAGGACGCATTGATACTCGTTACGCACTGCTTAAACGCCTATGCATGGGAGGAGGCAGAACAATTGTTACTGTCTTATGCACCGCTTCTAGAGTCCATCACTATGCCCATCAACACACGGGCCGATTTATTTGACGTGCAGCGGTCGCCTTTTTTACATGCGGTCAAGGATTTTGTTCATCGCACCGGACGTCATCGTCTGCTTTACGATGTCTTGGAGCACATGGTTGCTCTTGAGCTGCTACCGCTCGAATGGCTGGCAACCGATAGCATGCGCCCTGTCTGGGATCGACTGGTCCGAAGCATTTCCGAGAATGATGCTCGCACTCTGCCAAGTGTTTGCCGATTCTTCGAGACAGTTGCCTTCGCAAGCATGGGCCTGCCCGATTGTCGGCTGCTAGAAGATGAGGTCACTGGGTCTGTTTCTAGGCGCTTTGTACCATCGTCACGATTGGAACTCCGGCAGGCGCTTGACACTACGTTTTCTAGTCTCCTCACCGTGCTGTGCAGTATAACTTCAGTCAACAACTCTCGTAACGACGACGCGGGCCAGATGACTGCAAAGCGGGTTACTCGAGTTTTGGACGCGGTCGTCGTTGCTATTGCTACTCGGCAGGACATCAAGGATGAGCTCAATCTTCTTGGTGCGGATGCCAATGATGTCCAAGTCATGGCTCAGCGTGGCATTTGGATAATATTTGCATCATGTCTCCTGCATCTTGAGAGTTGTTTGAGCGATCCAACCGTAGTATCCCTCGATACCACTGGCTCTATAGGCATTATCAATTGGATAGCCTCACAATATTCCTCAAAAGACATCAATTTCGCATCGATATTTGGCCCTCTACCATCCTTGGTCTCGTCGACTGCACGTGGGACTGGTCGTATCTGGCAGGACGATGGATTCGATCAATTACAACGCTTTGTTACGGCACTGATGTCGGTATCTGGCTGCCGATTACCGCACAAGCTGTGGACACTGAAGAGAATCGCATTAGAATCCGCACTGGAATTTGCTCACGGCACAGGCGACGCCGAGCACATGGCATTTGCACGCGAGGTTGAGAAGAAGATGCAAACACAAGGTCGCCTAATTATCATGCAATCACCAGCAAAGAACGATTCCCCGGCGACAGGTGGTGGCTTTAGGTGGGAAGAGGGCATCGGTGAATGGGTCACATGCACACCGTTTGTGAAACAGAATCCCAGGCGTCAGATTGGCAAACCCGTCCGGGCCCTTGAACTACTTCCGACGCCGGTGCAGTCAGAAGAAGAGAAGGAGGATGTCGCTGAAGTCGAAGATGACCTCCCTAGTAGTGTCCCCACCACTCCAGTGTGGGAAGCCACTACATTCGACTACGCAGATGAGGACGATGCAGGACCGCAATCGTCACCAATCAAGAAAAGACAGCGTACTTCCATATCATTGTTGGGAAAACGCGGTCGAGCGCCATCACCAAAGGTCGTCATACCGGTGAAGCGAACGCACATGACACCTCCAGACACACCACCTGTCAGATTTTACGCCCATCTACCTGAGGAAAAGGGAAACAGTTCAAGACGGTCTTGTCGCTTCCAGCACCAAACCAGCACAATGCCCTCACAATCCCGACCTAAGCGCTCCAGAACATCCCTCGAAAGCGGTCTGCGCGATGTAAAAATATCAACCTACGTCGAGCCAACCCTTGATATCGATATCGATCTCTCAAGCAGCGCCAGCGACACAGACGCATCGAGCCCATCTCAGCAAGATTCGGAGACCGAGGCAGAGCAACCCAATACGCGATCTTCATCGCAAACCCGCCGTCGCTCAACGCGCAACATACATGCACCTTCTTCTCCCGGCCGTGACGAACTCGGTAGAACACCAGCCCGACCTCGATCTCGCTCATCACTTCGAACCAAGAATCGAGAAAAACCACTACCCCCGGCTAGCAGATCCAGCTCACGGCGTACAGCCAGCAGGACGCGGCCCGTACTGCAGAATACCCACAACGACGACAGCGAAGACGAATTGAGCTTTTACTAGGTATGCAAGTCTCACTCCGCAGCGTCCTCGTCAATATTATTGCGATCGGATAGTATTTGGTGGTGATAAATAGTCGTTGGACTTTGATACTTTTCTTTTCCTTGCTGTCCCAGTTTAGCGAGTTGCATTCTTTGCGTTTTTGCATGTTGTAGATACCCCCTCTTCTTTTCTTCATTATCATAGCGAATTAGGTAGTTGTAGCAATTTGAAATGATAACACGGCATTCTAAACATCACTCTCTTGTGTTTGAAATATAATGCCACATGTGGTAGGCATGGATAGGATGAACATTCATTACATTAATCCGCCCGTTACAAGACACACAAACTTACACATGGACAATGTATACACTCTTTGCAACAAGCGCTCAGCACTATAGTAGTTAATTTCTCAAAGGGAAAAAAAGAGATACAAATATAGAGGTGAGAGAATAATGCTCACATTCCCCCTCCTTCCCTTCTTTCAAAACGCCAGAAAGATGCAACAAAGTTGTAGAATAAGTATATAAGCGTTAGTACTTTTTTTCAGTACTTCTTGTTCCTTGAACACTTC